CTAAGCAGGTGTCTAAATATTTGCGGAACCAGGCTTAAGAAGTAGAGGAGAGAGCCAGAATCTGTAACCTTGTCCTAGACTCTTTTCTTAAAGACCTCTTTTTTCTCTTGCACCTGACGGTTGCAGGTGTTACTGTCTCTATCCTTAATGTGGGATTTGGAACTATGGTACCTTTCTGCCCTCTTCTTCCTGTCACTGAACTTTTAGGCACCATATATTTGAAGAGCCGTGTAGGTTCCAAGGAAAGGCTGACTTAAAGAAACTGCCTAAATCTGACAGGTTCCTGCAAGCCATGAAATAAAATTTGCAGTTTGTAAGTGAGAAGTTGTGCTTGGGTAGTCCCTGTGGGACTTTAGGTGTATATGTCTCTTCATGGTGTTTTTCTTTGACTGTGAAATATTTTACACTTTGGGAAAAGGTCACTTGTAACCGGGTTTATTATAGGTTGATTTCATTGAATTAGTGTGCGCATCTTGTTTTGCAAGGTTTAAAATCTTGAGCTAACGTGCCAACCTTACACATAATTTACATCTGGAGCTTTTAAATACTTGATGCTTGAGGAATGCGTATAGTGTGCAGATCTGTAAACCTATTAAGAATGCACAACACAGTTGTGGTAACTAGTGCAGAAGGGTGGATATTCAATTATATGCTTAGTGGAAGGAAGGTTTACTGAAAAAATATTAGTGGGAAGCTTCAGTGGGGCTTGGTAATTGCTATATGTACTCTGTAATACCTGCAGCCATTATTAAACAGTAAACAAATGCACTATGTATTTTGAAAAACTTGTTCTCTAAGTAGGAATCTCTCAGGTGAGTTTCATCAGCTTCTGCAGCGCCTACTGTCATTAATGATAAATATATATTTCTCTCTCTCTTGCTTGAAAATAAAGGATTCTGCATGTGAGCAGGGTACAGTTAAACATCCAGTTGTCGTCTTAGGTTTTCAAGCAGACAGCTCTTACTGCCTGTGCATTTCAGAGCTTTTGTGAAAGTCATTACAGAATAAGAACTTTCTCTTTGGAACCTTTAACAGAAAATCACAGAAGTTATTTTCATGTTACTGATTGGAAAAGTGCTGTATCTTTGGACCCATCTAGCTGTCAAATGTTGTAGCTTTTAGCCCCATTTCCCACACTGTTAGACCATAGACTAAGTTCCTGGAATCTAGCTGGAATAATTTTAGTCAGTATCATGAAAATTACTTCAGTATTCTTCTGTTAAATCTTCTGAAGAGAAAATTCTAATGCCATAATTCCCATCTCCCTTTCTGTGCTTGCCTGTGTGCTACCACCCACAGAATAATGTTAACAAACTATGCAACAGTTCTAATTTGCTGTGGTGGGAAGTCAAATGGATAGTTAAACCAGCCCTGAAATTATTTAAAACTCTCTAATTTGTGCAATGAAGCAGATTAGAGGTGAGCATGTGATCCATCAGCAGGGCTCAGCTGTGGGTGCAGCAACTCCTGTTAGAAAGGCAGCAACTTCTTAAAATGCTGCACCTGTTTCCAAAGTCATCACTGTCTTCTTAGAGGAAAGGGGTCTGTAAAAGAGGGAGTGGAAAGTATAATATTCTAAGTGGCTAAGCAATCTAGTAAAAGAAAGAACCTGTTAAGCACCAGATTTTTATTTTGAAATATAACACATGCAGAGAGTAAGGACTCTTTCCTATGTTACTTGATAACTCCATAATGTTTTACAACTACAACAATTCAGAATTCTATAGTATTTTTCCCTTCAACTCTCCTCTTCATCCAGCATAGGCAATAGCGCATACGTTAGTTTTGTTCTACCTCTAGTCATTCACCTTCTGGTTCTGGCTCGTCTGTGCTAGCATGATTTGCAAATATTCCTGGAGATGTTTCAGACCAGTTTTGATAACATTTACTTGAGATTTAATAAAACAATTTGTTAAGATTTAGAAATGTTTCTTTTTAATGATAAGATATGAACAGGACCTTTTGCAATGTCTTTTCAAAATCATGCTTTCGTTGGTCATCCGTTGTATGCATTGCTTTTCATCGTGGTGGTTGCTGGGGATTCCTTCTCGCTCACCCACTTCAAAAAAATTAAAAATTGGCTGGGGTTTGTCAGAATCCAATGGAGCTTCCCAGTGCTCAGGGTGAACACAGCCCGGTTGTTATTGCATGCAAGCTGGGCACAGAGTGAGACATCACTGTGCTGCAGGGTATGAGGGAAGAGTAATGCCCTTGAATCACGAGTGGCTTTTATAGAGGTTATACAGGGTGGAGAGTGCCTGCCTGGCCTCTTCTATGTGAAGCCTGGTCCCTTTCGTACCTGAAGCCAGAACCCTATTAGGAAATGGCGGTTTTTGAAATGTGTCTTAGGAGTGTAACGGGCCAAGAGTCTTCCAAGTCCATCCGTAGCTGTAACGTTCCACTCCCTCCCCCGCAAAGTCTGGTCTCTACAGGCTGAAATTTTCTGGCCTTCTGTGTCTGCATGGACCATTGGCCAGCAGCTGTGTCTGTGTGGCACATTCCCTCATGCTTTGTTGACACGTGGGGTCTTACAAGCATGGGGTATCTTCCAAGAACGCATGGAGGTAGTCGAGGAAAGATCGCTTTGTCACTTTTTTGGTTTCAGAATCTAAATTGCTTCAGGGAACGGAGTGGACCATAGAATAAATAACAGAATCTTCCATATGATAGAAGTTTGCAAGTTGTTAGCTGACCTGAAAGGGTGGCAACACAGCACAGGACCCTCCTGAAGCTTGCGTTAGAAACTGACTCCTCTCCTTCGCATAGCTCTGCTGAAGTTGATGCCCTGACTGATCTTGCTGTGTTGGCAAATATTCTGTCCAAAGGTCTGCCCAGAGGGAAGAGGTATTTCTGTACCACTGTCGGCAAACCAAACTATTAGTTTGGTGCGTTTTGGGAGTCCTCTGCCAGGAACTGAAGTGCATGCAGTGCTGCTGGCTCCACCTGGGAGACTTTGGGGTCTCCTGTGGACACTAACGTCAACCACATCTTGCCATTAGCTGCATGAGTTTTGTGTTGCTTAATTCCACGTTGGTATAAATTCTTTTCTTTTTAGACCATGCTCTTAACAGCCACGTTAGAAGCCAGCTTTCCAACCTGTAATTTTATTTTGAAGAGTATCACTGTGATTTCAGGATGCCTTTTGAATGCTTTCAGGTTATGCCTAGCCTGCCAGTTTGCAAACCCCCACATTAGCCTGAGATCTGAATTTCTTTGCTGTTTCTGTCACACTCTTTTTTCCTACAGGTGGAATACTTGGAGCAAGAATTTTGTTGATTTTTTTCTTTTCCCTTTTAAAGGAAGTGAGGATAAGGTTTTAAGACAGAGCAAATGAAAGAAAAATATCAGTATGTTGTTGGTATCTTTCTCTAGTTACTAAAGATGACACGGAAAGAGAAACAACACTTTTTAAAAACTCTTAAAATATATATATATAAAGAAGGTTCAACAGAGAGATTTTTTTTTTTAATGAAATATTTTTATATTGTGTCTAAACAGTTTTTGCTGAAATTTTCTTTGACGGGCCAAAGAACTGAGCTTCCAGAGTCTCAGTCCATAAGAGGTGCTCCTACTGAATATTTAAACTGTTGCTGCCGAGAGTTTTACGTTACCCACTAAAGATCCCTTTATCCTCTTTCTATTGCTTATGTTTTATCTCACTGGTATGTGTAGTATCAACATTTTACTAGCTTCTCGTTATCCATGCAGTGTTTCTAAGAAAGCAAAGTAGATAAGTTGTGCAAGTTTGATGTTAAAAAAAATTAAGAAAATATAATCTCATCCGCTTTAATCATCACAGATACAAAAACTGAGACAAGTGTATCTTTATTTCCTTTGGAGGTTGCCTCTCCTAAGGACTTAAGAGGAATTATGCGAGTGGAATTATTCTTCCTTTCACTTCAAAACGTCAGACGGATGAGATTTGTACTTGTTTTCCATGCTTCTCACTGAGCTACTTGCTTCTTGAGTTTATGAAAAGAAATCTGTTTCTTTGTTTTCTGTTTCATCATCTATTGCAGGCAGTTCAGTTTGTCCTTTTTATGCCAGCTGGTTTCAACATTTTTTTTTTAACTGTTGAAGTTTAATAGGAGCATATGATTGTAAAATATTGGCTAACCTCTAGAAGTACAATGTTTCTGTTTATTTGCTATTCAGGAAGTAGATGGACATTTGAGGATCATAGCCTGTTTTCCTCATTCATGAGGCTAAATTTACTCCTCATTTGAAAATATATATAAAACGCAGACTTAGTAGTTTAGGAAGTACCTCATTTTTGACCTAATGTAGTCTGTGACAAGTTTGTGCTATGTTCTGGCTTAATATCTAAATGTTCCGTCTGTGGGACTCTAATAACTCCACTAGTCAGTCATTGCAGAAATGTACTAATCTAACAGCATCTGGCCCTTTAATTTTATTTATTTAGTTTTAATCAGCAAATTCTAAATATAAGTTTAGTTCCTCTTGAAATCAACTTCTGACATGCTGATATTGCTGAAATCAACTTCTGACATAACATGATCTGACACAGACAAATATCTATCTTGAATAAATATTTCTGATTCTGTTTGAAATTACACTATGCAAATCTGGAAATGGAAATCATCTTTTCTTGTATGTCAAGAAAAGATATATTACATTTTAGTTTATGGCCAATTAAGTTTTTTTTGTTTGTTTTTATTTTAGAAGTGTAAAGTTTAATGCGTCAGTATGAGCCTTTGCATATTCTGATACTGATGTGGTGTCTGCTAACATTTGCACAGCAGAATAATAGCTTTACTTATGATCATGATGTAGGGCAGAGGCAATTCACTCCCATAGAGCTGTCCCACCCCTTTATGACTGTATTCTTAAAGCAATGTAAAGCTGTGTGTGTACTCTAGTTGTTTTGTTTATGGCATGAAATGACCCAGGAGGGATGGGTATAGACTCTAGCAATCTGAAAACTTGGTAAGAACTGGAAAACTAAGGTTTGCTACCTTTTATTCTGTTTCTCAGCTCCAGAAGAAAAGGATGCAATTAAAGGGCAATATGAAAAGCTCTTGGATGCTTATGGCTGCTTAGGGGAACTTCAGCTTAAATGCGGTAAGTGTCTAACTGTATGAGCGAGATTATAAAATGCCCGGACATGCTGGTACTCTGTAGTGTCAAATAGCTAAAGTTGTATGGTTCCTTAACTTTTGAACACTAATTGGACCTTGTTACATACAGTTAGGGAAAGGTCTCTTTCTTTTTCTATGTTGTGTCAAAAGCATGCTGCCAAGTGATTTTGAATTTTTTTTCCACTTTTGTTTTGTCTAACATTCTTAGCTGCCTGAAAATAATTGTAATTTTTTTTACCGCATTTGTCCAAGCCAAACACTGATTTCCCTTTTTGTTTTGGAGGATCATGTTCAAACAGTGACTGATCATGGCCATCTGAGACTGCAGTCCTACAGGCTCACAGTCCTTGCTATAATGCTCAATTTCCTCTAAATGGGTAGTTCATATGGAAAAGGATTTGCAGAAGCAGGCCTTTAACCTCAGCTAGTATAGTGCAGTATATGTATTGTCATTCCTGTAAGTTTCTGTACCGTCTGGGAATCTTGATTTAGCAAAGGACTTTTTATTACACAGCCTACAGGAGGAATGTTAATGGAAATGGCATGTTATAGGAACAGGACTGCAGTCATTGATTTGAAGGTAGTTCAGGTTGTAATTCACTGATGAAAGAGATACACCAAGACAAAAAGTCAGTGATATTAAAACATGGCATACTTCAAACCTGGACATTATCTGTGTTCGTTAAAGAAAGCCCTATACGCCTTATTCCCATTGGCTTCTGACAATGAGCCTTAGCTTTGACTGGGAGGAATGATAGTACTGTGCTTTACATATAACTCAGTGCTTGGTCAAGGGATCTGCCAAAAGCAATGGTAGTGTGAGCACTGCCATGTTTAGGCCAGTACATGGAAACTTACATTTTTTTTAAGGCCCACCTACCGTCTTAGGAACTGAGTGCTATGGCTTGGGATCGATTTGAAGTGATGGCTGCAACCTGAGAGATTTCTGTTTCCTACTTTAAAACTGTAGATGCACCTAGTCAATTAAAATTAATGTGGGCTTTTTGTTTGTTTTGTTTCTTGTGGAACAATTAGGCATTTCTATGGAGATTAATATCAATTTGTTAATGTAATTAAAAATGGAGGGCTTGTGGTTGTTTTTTTCTTGGCGCTTGGACCTGTTTTTCCACATAGGAGTTTAATTAATCCTGCTGTAATAGTGAAGGAATGCAGCTATTGAATTCAAGCTGTTCAAGCTGCGGATGAGGGTAGTTTCTTGTACTTGATGAGAACTAAATGAATCCTTTAAATCCTTTTTTAGTATTTGTATTAAAAATATGAATGATTTCAAATAGGGTATGAAATATACTCAGCCTTACTACTTACCTTTTCTTTTCCTCCTTTATTTCTTTGTTCTCCATGTTCTTACTTTTTTTTTAAAAACCTGCTTAACTGAAGCGCTCGCAAAGTGTGAGTTTTTCCTCTCTGTGCTCTGTCACTACACCTCTGTCTTGCAAATATCTTGGTACAGGGCCTCCTTCGGAAAGGATTGTTAAAAATTTTATTGGTAATTTGATTTTTTTAAAAAAGTTTAGTAATAAGGGCTAATTGCTAATTGTGATCAAATGAAAAGTCAGAAGGGTCATGCTGTAATGGTAAGCAAAGGTAAGCAAACATTTTCCACTGCTGACCATGTTTTAAAAAAGCAAAGATGATTGCTTGCTATCTCACCAGTAAAATGATAGCTCATTTCACAGTCTCGGTTAGATCCTTTATCTTATGTGCAAGTACCTTCCATCCCTTTAGCTATTGCTTACATAATAGATTAACATTAAAAAGGAATGTAATGTAACATTTTTGCTTTTTTTTCTTAATGCATTCTAGCAGCTGCAAACAACGACATAATTGCTCAGTTCTTTGCTGACAGTGATGAGTTAGACCCTGTTCAGGAGTCTCACTGTTTTTTTCTCATTAGTGGAGACCTGCAGACCATAAGCACTAAATTAACAGAAAATATTTTTAAAAGTATATTCCACTGGGATATTAAAAGAGTATATTTGTGAAGCAAAAGGAGAGACTTTTTCAAGACATGAAAGATGTCTCTGAGAACTTTAATTAATCTGTAAATATTGCCACTTAGGAATCCAAATAAAACACATTGTACGCCTGCCAGAGTAGATCGTGCTTTTCACAAGAAAGTAGATGAAATATGTGAAGCTGACTTACAAAGTTAATGTTTCCCAGCAGTAATAACATTCACTTCTATGTACTTATGTCTGTTAACATGACTCACTAAGTTGTCCTGCTTTCTTTTGTGAGATGGATGGCAGCAGAATGAATCGTACAGTGTTTCTGAGCTGTATCTCAGCCAAGATTTTGCTGCCAAAGAAGATCTAGCAGTGCAAATACATTTTAAGCAATGCGTTAAGAGCTGGATTTGCAGTGTTTGGTTTAGACGCTGTGATGTCAGGAAGGATACATATATAAGGTAGTATTTTCATACCGTTAACAGTGTAGGTTGTTTGTTTTAATATAGCTACAGTATCTGGGGAGATATTCAATTCATTTGACTGTGTATATACTCTTGCTCTTACATATATAGTGTGTGTGGTAATCTAGAGGAAGATTTTTCAAGCACATAAAGGACAACTAGATGCCTGTTTCTTATTTCTTTTGAATATTTCCTAATATGTAATTGTAATTTGAAGAGGGAGAAAGAGTATCTTTGAGATTAAAATGAGGATCTGGGAAATCTTGGTGTTTTCATCATTCTGCTGTAGATTTCCTCAGAAATTTTCAGCTCATTGCTTAGAATCATATCTGCTGTGCTCTGGTGCTGAAATCCAGCTGATTTTGAAAGGAGGTAAGAGATCTTTTGAAAACTGTATTTGAGAATTTGGCTGTGGCCAAATAGCCTTTGGGCTATAAGGTGAGGGTGAAAATAGTTCCCAGACATTCATGCTTATTAATTCTTCTTGGATGCTCAATTGCTAGAGTGATACAGGGATGCGTAAATGAGAGGTTTCCATTTTAACAAAGTTAAACTCAGATCTGATGCCCGTGGAAATGGAGACTAGTAGATCTGTGCATAATTTGGAAAGCAGCGTTAAATATGGTTTGAAAAGTAAGAAACATTTACTGGATACTATAACAACAGATCAAAGTTCCAGAAAATACAGGATTGCACTGAACAAGCGATCCAAGTTTTCATTTGAAGTATTGCTATGCTGTAAAATGCAAGTGAGAGAAGGGACTAAGTGAACATCAGGATATGGCATGCTTGTATTAGAATGGAGAGAGAACAAAAACTGGAGTGAATTAACTTTTAAAAGGAGAAGGCAGTCTTGAATGAAATGTTTGCAGCTAAGAAGGACAAAATAAGAATTGACTATTGCCTATTTTTCATTGTAGCTCATGACAGGCAGCTCCGAAATCATCCCATAATAATCCCCATGCAGGGGAAGCAATTGCCTTGAGTCATGCAGGCAGGTTAAATACAGCAACTGCAGCTTATTGTTGGGTGTGACGTACCAGAACTGTATTTCCTGTGGTGGCCTTGCTAAACTTTGATTAAGGCAGTTGGCTTCGCAAGAGCTTTTTAAAAAATGGATGAAGTTATTTTTGTCTTATTTGCATGCCAAATATTCTCCATCCTCTGACTCCAATGTGCAACCTGGTAAGAGGCCATTCAGCACATATTGCTGTGAATAGTTCACTTCTCACTTTCTTTTGAAAGTGTTCTTCGAAGCTGATTGTGGTGATTTATAGCTGTAATGGGGCAAAATAATGATTGACGATATATCAACACTTATATCTCAGTATCTGAGATCAAAATTTGATCTATAGGCTTTGAAAGAATATTTTATTTTTCTTTAGTACTGTTGGTGAGTTTTACTTTTTCATAGATGAGTTGCTCTAGTAAGCATGACTGATAAGGAGCACTTCAGTTTTTGCTGATATTATTTTATAGCTCCCTTTAAAATATCCCAAATTGTATCCCTAGGAAATGAGGGACATTTCTATAGTTCTGATCATCTATTGCAGGTCTCATATTCCTAAATCACTTTTATTTTTGTGGAAGTTTAGAAAGGCTAAGTGAAGAAGGATTATATATTACACTACATGGAAAAGTGCTGTTTTTTTTTTTTTAATCTGGTTTTTAAAGCGAGGGGCCCTGTAAATAGTTTGTAGCTGATATGGTTGTTGGTACAAAGTAAAGTGCAGAGTCAGACCTGGAGCCTCGATTACTTCACAGGAAAAAGTTTTCCATTTTCTGGGTTGCTTTTCACTGGCCTTTAGTGCTGGCCCCATTTATCATTTAGCAAGCAGTGTGTCTTTGCAGCTGTGTCAGCTGAATGTAACATGGTTTCTGCTACTATGCTAGACATGGGCATCAAGGAAAATTACGTTTTTTTTCCTCCCAGCTTATTTCCGTTAATTACTTTTTTGTGATAAGAACTGTGGACTCCTGTCTGAAGAAATAAGACTGGAGTTTAGCCTGTCTCCTATTCCAAATATGCAAGGAGTTCCTCAGTGCAGGAGCCTAAGTAGACTGGCCACAGTGAGAGTGCTGGCAGGGCCACTGAATTCAGGGAGTTGAATCAGCGATAATTTTACTTTTGATCCTGAAGATGTACTGCCAGCACTTGAAAACTTAACTCACTCACTTGTTTAATTTGAGTTGCACTTGATTAAAAGGTAACTGCCCATTCCATGACTTTAGTGGGGTTTTTCCCCCCTATTTTGTTGTTTGTGTCTTGGCAGAACGAAGAAAAGTGTCCTGAGTAGTGTTTAGCCCCTTTCAAGGGTTGTAAACCCATAAAAAGTGCTTCACAGCAGCAGTTCCACATGCTGCTGGATGGGTATAACTGGGCCATATGATGTATTTCTGTTGTGATTGGGGTTAGCATAGTACTTAAAGTGCTACTTGCGTTAAAAAAATTCACTGGAAACTTGAAAGGAGCAGTGTTTTTAACATAATTACACAAATAGAAACAATAGTGAGCTGCAGTTGTGAAAGGTAAGGCTTCAGGGCTTAATGGAATAGCTGTAGCTGTTCTGAGGGGAAGAAATACCCACAAGCTTTAAGGAATGTGTGGGTGTTTCAGTTGTATTTATTTTACTAGAACTGTGATATTTTCACAGTTGGCTCAGCACAACAGTTCTACTAAAAAAAAAAAAAATCTCTCCTACACCATGGCCTCACAAATCCACCTACCTTAGGAAACTGTATGCCGTGTTGGATTCTTTTGTGAGGGAGCGTTCAGTAAACCAGGAATGCAGCTTCTTGCATTCCTTTGTGAGATTTACTATATAGTAAAAATGAAGCATGGAGCAACAGCATCTATCCTGATGGGGATTTACTGAAGCAATTTCTACCCTTAAATTTAACGGCATATAGGTAGGGTTGTAGTTGATACAGCTGTTTTCATATTTAAGTAGCTATTTACAATGGGAAAGATTATTGTTCATTGGAGTTTACATACCAGAACAGAAATCATATTGATGTTTTAAAGGTTAAATTTAGAAGTAAATGGATTGAATTTTTACTTCAGTATATCAGTGATAATAATCTGACTTTCTGTGACTGGAAAATTAACATTGACAGCCTGGACTTGAAGGGAAAGACACAGGAGCAAGACAGCATGAGAAAAAAGGTTTAGGATTGAGAGAAGAGATTTACAGACATAAACTCATGTTGTTGGCAAAGAAGGGAACATGCCGGAACATGTTTAATTGTGTAGTTTTAGTGATTTTTGGTTTTTTTGAGCCATTGTCTCCATGGCACTGCACTGCCGAAGACCCACCACAGCTCTCAGTTTGCAGAGAAGCACTTCCAAAGGGTAGAGAGCACAGTGGTTCTGTTTTTGAGAGTTAGGTGTTGTTGGTTTTGAGAACATGCCTGATTGTAGACCTAGATGGAGACATGAATAAGAGATGGATAGCTTAAACAGGTGAAGGAGTGGGAGGAGCCCTATCTCTGCTCAGGATCCTGTGGATACATCTGTGCTGTGAATAAAACTGGGACAAGGCACAGACTTGAGCACTGTCAGTAGGATATCATGGTTAGCATGCTCCCTGGCATGGTTTTGGCCAAGACTAGCCAAGAGTTGTAGGCCCAGCAGACAGGGATCTTCCTAGCCCAGACAGTGCAGAGCCAGCCTAGGGCTGATTCCCAAGGACACTGTGCAAATACAGCATGGGGTGTAGGTGATAATCTGTGGACAAGGCTCAGGGCTGTTCCTGAGGCTCTGGGTCAGAGATTTGTGTTAAGTTGGGGCTGTGGTGTCACAAGGTTTCTGCAGTTTGGCTGTCCATATCCTGAGTAGCTGAGTATCCTGAGAACAAATCTGAGAGGCTAGAGATGATCTGAAGACCATCCCAAGCCATAGAGCAGTCCAGGAAGAGGCAGCCAGCTATCTTATAACTTCAATCCATCAGCTCTTTTTTATGTCGTGGGCTGTATGCCTCCCGTCCTGAGAGGCATAACCCTGTGAACTCCTTTGCCAGCCTGCCTCTGTTTAAGGGTATTATGAAAAGTACAAGAAGGATTTAGGCTGTTCCATAATAATTTGTTATTCCTTTCTGATTATCAAAGGGATTTATTCTGTGGATGCAAGAGGTTACTGTGCAAGGGCTGGAAAAAGTATCACAGTTTCAGAAAGCCATCAGTCTTCTGTCTTCTGGGACATCGCAACAGCCTCTTAGCTGTAGTTTCTATTTCTAAGCTCATTAGCTAGTGGTTTAAGGGAACAGAGATGCAGGATTTCTGCCTGTATGAATAGGACTCCCTTTCTGGGGGTAAGTAGTTGATTGGAGAAGGTAGTAAAAAGAGCCTAGAGTCTCTGCTAAGGGGTAGAGCGTCTAAGTAAGGCAAAACTGTTTAGATTTGTTTGACTTTTCTGTCATGCTGTGCTTTATTGCAACTCTTAGCCTTCATAAGCTGAAGAATTGCTTCGTTTAGACCTGATTATTTTCCTCTAGTTACAAGCTCCTTGAACGACAGAGCCACAGATAACAAGCCCACTGCTATTAAATTTTTCGCTCTTTTTGGCTATCTTAATGTTGACTTTGCCCTTTGATCTCCTCTGAGACCCCTAAGAAAGTTTAAGGTCACTGAAGCCAATGAAAGCATTTGTACTCTGTGTCTCGGCCTCCTAGTCAGAGCTCTCTGAATCTGTCACTGCTGGCTTGCTGTCCCTGAAACCGACTGACTGTGAGGCACATTAACAGTGTTTCTTTACATTGCTTCCAAGTTCCCATGGGTTAAGTTTACTTTGGGCTAATCACTTTTGCATGGTTTCACAAAAGTCACAGAAGCTATGAGCTAACTTGATTTATAGCTAACCCCTAGCCGCTTCTAGAGTTTGCAAGATATTATTTACTCAGGTATGAACTACCAAGATGATAACTGATGCAATGTCTTACTCTTAATCTTTTAT